GCTCAGGTGGCCCTCATGTGCCAAGCCTGTGTTGACATTGATAACCAAGCTAGCTACACCTTTCCCAGTGGCATGATGCTCTAGATGTGACTGCACCGCTACAATGACAACTGCCTCTCTAGGTGGAGGATGAGGCTTTGCTAGGACAGAAAACCAAACCTAGCCTCACATTCTGCCTCAACAAACAAAATATTAATTTCAGTTTCCCCCCAAAAAGACCAGTCTGAATGTGGTAGTTTGCACCTTTGATCCTAGCACTTGGGAGGTGGAGGCAGAGGCAGGTAGATCTCTTTGAGTTTGAGACCACCTGGTCTACATACTGAGTTCTAGGGCAGCCAAGGTTATGCACTAAAACCTCTCTTTAAAAACAAACAAACAAACAAACAAAAAGCCTTCAGAAGGGATCTTAAGCTCAATCTCCTTGATCAGAAGTGGTCTCTCTCTGGGGCATCCAAATGGAACCCTGTGTGTGTGTGTTTAATCAGAAGTGCCATGTCTCAGCACAGGAGCCCACACATCAATCTGTGGCATTCATCACACAGCACCCTCCTCTGAGAACACAGTCACGCTCTTCTCCGTCCCACCTCCACCCAACTTTGCCTGTTCATCTTGCTCTGCCTCTGCTCTTCCCACACAGAGGTGAGTAAACACTTTCTCTTCCCTCACAGCTCCAGGCCAGTGGCTTAATTCTTCCTCCTCCAGTCCAACATCTCACCTCCAGGTAGCTCCCAATTCCTACTAAATTGGTGAGTTACCAACTGGTTGAGATACAGATTTTTCAAACCTGCCTGTGCTGAGTAGGTCTTGGCTTAATATATGTAGCCTAGGTAGCTAATAGTGTGGGTTGTTCAGTAAGTCTGAAAGCTGGCCCTTATGTTTAGGCTGAAAGGTTACTTAAACATTTAAAATGATATTTACTCCACGTGCCATGACAAGTGTGCAGAGGACAGAGGACAACTGGCAGGAGGGGTTTCTCTCTTTACACCATGTGAGTCCCTGGGGACTGAATTCCTATCCTTGGATTTGGCAGCAAGTACCTTTACTCACTGAGCCATCTTGCCAGCTACCGAGAATTTAAAGTCATATGACAAGGCAAGGCACCGTGGCCCATGCCTATAAACTCTGCAATTGGGAGGAAAAGAACAGAACAGAACTATTGAAAGTTGGAGGCCAGCTTGGGCTACAGAGCATATTCCAGGCCAGCCCCAGATACAAAGACTGTCTCAAAACAAGCAAACAAATAAAAAGTAAATAAATAAAACAAAAGAATGAAGGCAGCTGCTCTGCTGGCCAGAACTAAATGATGATTAGACCTGTTTGCACCTGCAGGTTAGGGAGTATCAGCTTCATATCTGAGATCAGATAGAGTCAGTTCATCTCAGGGCAGTCGAATGCTGAGAATTCAGAGCATGCCAGTTAAACATGTCAACAAATACAACGGGAAACCTACCTTTCCAACTATTGGAACAACAACCACTTTTCATGTTTGGGGCACCCTGCATACAGCTTCCATCAATTCCAAGGCTTCTAGAAAGCCGGCTTAGTGATCAGAAACCAACATCAGCACAGAAAGGCAGTAAACAGTGATAGAAGGTTCCCAGAACTGTGCCTGCATGTTACTAGGGCTGGGAGAGCCTGAGTAATTCACTATGGAGCAGCATACCATTAGAACTGAGCTGTGCTCAGGCACCACCCACACATGTGGAACAATCACTTCAATAATACAAGGTATTTAAATAAAACCTGGAGATGGCGTAAATTTCCAGTGTTGTAATCACTACTATTCTTCCAGAGGACCTGAGTCCAGTTCTTAGCACCCACACTGGACCACTCACAACAGTCTTTAACTACAGTTTCTGGGGAACTGATGCCCTCTTCTGGTCTCAACCGGTATTGCATGCAGGTGAACACGGCCCACACAGACAAACCTGCATACACATGATTAAAAATAATAAAATCTTAGTGTTCTCAGAGGCTTGCTAATGACAAGAATACCATGTCTACAGCCAGCCTCCCTTCAGATCATTTTTTTTTAATCTTGAATTTAGCACAACTTAGAGCCCCCTGTGGCCATTGCCTGTCTCACTGCATCCCACCCCTCAGTCTCCCTTTAGAACCTTAGCTGTTGGTATACTCTATGTTGATTATACACAGGAAGCACTTTCTTAAGAGTTCAACGTGTGAGTTTCACTTTAGGACTGTCCTTCCACAAACCAGACAGAGTCCTGTTGTGACTGCTCATCTTTTCCTAAGTCATGGCTTTTTTTCCCCCTCACAAACTTTTCTATAAACTGAATGCTTGTTAATTATGCTACAATATGGTAGTGACAGAAACTGACCTAATGCCCCAGTTACCATATTCTTTTTTTTTTTTTAATATTTAGTTTTACTTTATGTGCATTGGTGTTTTGCCTGCATGTATGTCTGTGTGACGCTGTCAGATCTTGGAGTTACAGTTGTTAGGCACCATGTGGGTGCTAAGACTTAAACCTGGGTCCTCTGGAACAGCAGTCGATGCTCTTAACCACTGAGCCATTTCTCCAGACATTTTTTTTAAATTTATTTACTTTTATCTTATGTGCATTGGTGTTTTGCCTGCAGGTAAGTCTGTGTGGGAGTGTCAGATCTTGGTGTTAACAGACACCAAGATGCCATGTGGGTGCTGGGATTTGAACCTGGGTTCTTTGGGAAAGCAGTCAGGGCCCTTAACCACTGAGCCATCTTTCCAGCCTTTGGATACCATATTTTCTATTATTCTAAATGTAGAATAGTGGCATCTCATGGGAACTTTTAAAATTCACTACCACATCTGGGCATTTTGGGGGGGAGGGTAGGGAGTTCCAGACAGGGTTTCTCTGTGTATTCCTGGCTATCCTGGAACTAGTTCTGTGGACCAGGCTGGCATCAAACTCAGAAATCTGCCGGTTTCTGCCTCCCAAGTGCTGGGATTAAAGTTGTGCACCACTATACCCAAATTTTCTTTTCCTCAATAAGATAGAAAACATGAGGGAAAATAATTCAACTGGAAGCCTTTACTAAAGTCAAATGGCAGTAAATATAAATAAGATATCCAGCATATTAAAAATCTTTTCCCAAGAAAATGAAGTCAGGAACTGCTGCTGTGCACACTCCTCCAGCAGAAACTCTCGGAGCACCTACTAAGTGAACTGTAGCTAAAGCAACAAAGCAGGCTGAGCTTTGTCCTCAAGGACCTTCCTCTTCATCAGCCTTGACACTAAGCCCAGGATCATAAAGGTTCTAATCCTAAAAGCATTCTGGGAAAAACTTAGTAAATCAGTCAACAAGCATTAAAGAAACTTAGTAAGTTTATATGGTTTCTCTTTTATTCTTCTCATGGGAAACTATTTACAAGGAAAAAAAAAAGTTCCTCAAAGCATGATGTGAACTCAGCCTTTCTGCAAGAAAGGGACTGACTGTTGGTGCTCTCCTTCCTACTGTGCCTACGGGTGACTCATCCTTCCACTGTCGCTTTCTCTGAAGCCTCCTTGAACTCTCTCCAGCTCCACTCCATCCCTAGGCAGGGTTAACTACTGCCTGCTCTAGTTTACCAAGGTATTAGACTGTAATTATTTGTTCCCTCTTCTCCACTCACCAGCCAGGCTGGGAGCTTGCTTTAGGAAGACAGACTGCACCTTCCTCCTTTCCCATGCTGAGTGCCTGGCCAGGTACTAAGAATAGAAATGGGGGGATAAGAATGAGGTGACTCACAAAGACAAGAGAATCCAAGATCCAGTATTAGAAACAGGTAGGTTCTTCCCCACCAGGATTCTTTGCTCATTTTAAAAATTTGATACAAGTAAAAGACACATCAGTGTGCATAAGATTCCTAATTTTGAATACAGGAAAAACATGTCTTTAGCAAAGCTCTTGTCTTAACACACAAGTCTTCAGACTGGGAGGGATGTGGTTTTTGAAAGTGAAAAAATCAAAATGGGCTCAGATGGCCCACTGTTAGTTGCCTCATTTGACAACTTGTGCTTCAAATAGTCACAACGTAATGGATTTCGGGAGACAGTAGGTGACACATATCATGGATGAACAGAACTAAAAGGTCAGCTAGGTATTTTATTGTTTGGGCTTTCAGGAGTTCTAAGTGCCAAACTTTCAACTGCAGCCATACACTGCCTAGCTTCCTGATCACACCATTCCTTTTCCTCTGTGTACCAATGACTAATCTCCACATGGATGTGCTAGGACAGGACTCTGGCAATCACTTCATGAGCACAAAGGCAGAGCAACACAAAAACAAACGGCCCCCTGGCTCCAACTCAGGGAAGCTACTGAACATGCAAACAATCTCAACAGCACTCAGGTGCAAACAGTTATGGGTAGGAAGTTCTGCCAACCCACACAGGATGAGTAACTCTGTGTGGGACATGTCATCTGAGTGTGTGGTGATGGGATCAACTGGTGACTAAAGTCAAGTCAGATGTAGTCTTCCAGATCACTCTGCATCACCTCCAAAGCTTTACCTACTCACACCTGTCACCAGCTCCACTCCTGGTATCTTGGCCCCCTCTCCAGTCTCTGCACTTTGGGTACATAGTCAATCAGCTCAGGATCTCCTTAGGGTGATATATAGACTCCTCAGACAAAATGTATTACTCGTACCTCCCCAGAACAGCTCTCCCTTTATTTCATCCTCTGCTTCCTGAGTCACAATCTAAACTATAGATCTGAGCATCCCCTCTTCCTCCTCCTCCTCCTCCTCCACTTTGCAGCCACTAAGTCCTGGCAATCTCAATTCCAGCCTACCCTTTGAAGTGTCATTCAAGCCCGTGTCATCTTTCCTCCTTCAACTACAACAGTCATAGAAACTAGTTTATTTACTCTGGAACTTTCCCATTTACCTACTTGTGCATTGGACAAGCTAGAAACAAAGCACATGGGTACTGCAACAAATGTGACACAGAAAGTGTCTACTTTATGAAGCATCTGTTTATTCACTTACCGCAGCCTGTCTCTTTCTAGAAACTAACCTGGTTATGGCGCACACTGATTTCAATTCTCTAGTAGCTCAGACAGCCGCCTACTGCCCACAGGATAAACTGGTATCATAGGCTCACAACATCTGGCCAGTCATCCTCTGCAAACCTCTTGTTCTGCCACTACCGTATTTTTCTTGTTACGATGGCAAACTACCTGACAAAACAATCAAAGGAAGGAAGGGTCTATTTTGGCTCACAGTTTGAGTCCATCATGGGGAGGAAGTCATGGAGGGTAAGGCAGCTTTGCATCCAAAGACAGGGAGAGGGGAAGATGAATGCTGGCTCTCTGACCTCCACACAGGAGCCATGACACAAGCATACACACACGAAGTAAATACACATGATAAAAATGTAAAAGGATGCATTCTAGTAACTAGACTAATTTAAAAACAAACTTACTAACATGTTTTACTCTTTCACAGAAAGAACAATTGCTAGGCAGTGGTGGCACACACCTTTAATCCTAGCACTCAGGAGGCAGAGGCAGATGGATCTTTGTGAGTTCAAGGTCAGTCTGGTCTACAGAGCGAGTTCCAGGACAGCTAGAGCTACACAGAGAAACCCTGTCTCAAACAAACAAACAAAAACAAACAAAAAACAGTGCAAACCCTCTTCCAACTGCAGCTGCCATCCATGACATGGGATTAAAGACGTGTACCACCACCGCCCAGCCCAATAAAATATTAAAAAAAAAAAGTCTGGGATGGACTTCAGTGGCACAAGACCCCATGATAAAATAAGTAAGCAAACAAATACATGTTTTTAAAAAAAACCCAACTAAGTCTTCCAAAGGCTGTCCCAGTAAAAATGATTGAGGTCATCACTGACCCCTCTCTAGCACTACACACCAGGTCCAGTGGCCCTACCTTAAAATGTAACCTTGGACAGGTAAAGCCTTTGTCCCTCAACACCTCAAACCATTGAATGTCTTCCTGTCTCAGGGTGAAAACTCACGATGGTTTTTGGGATCTCATCTCCCTCTACTGCCTCCCTTGGTCCCTCTACTTGGGCTGAAATGGATTCCCTCCCAGTTACTGAACACATCAGTCGATCCCCAGGCTTCCCTACTTGTTCCGCCTGAACTAATTTCATCAGCTACACGAAGGGTTCAGGGTTCAGTCTCTCACATCGCTCAGGTTATTGATCGATCATCACCTCATCATCAAGGTATTTGTTGAGCACCCTATTTAGAAAACGATTATCCTCAACCTCTCATCCTTGACGTCTCTTCCTTCATCTTACTCATCACTACCTAATACACTGTTTCCTTGCTTGATTTCTATAGTTTAATAGGGAGTGACCTGCGTATTTATTCCCTATTCAATTCTAATGGAGAATTTTTATTTGTTCTGCTCAAGGCTGTATCCTCGGGCCAAGAATAGTGCTGGTGCAGGGAAGAGGCAGAAAGGGTGATTTGTATGACTAAAATGAGAAACGCTATTTGCTGCTGGACTGGCTGCGGTCCACACTTGCTGATCCCATTATGCACCAGTGTCTGTGCAGAGTTAAGTAACCTCAGTATTCAGCAACATTAAGTAAGTTGAAACATTTTGCTTCAATGTTGCTTTTTTTTTTCTATTTTAAGATTCCGTGTTACTTGTAACAAAAAAAAATGATATACGGATTTCTAAGTTTAAAAAAATCTCTGTGAGTTCGAGCCCAGCTTAGTTTAAATAGCAAGTTCCAAGCCAGGTAGGGCTATCTAGTGACTATCTCAAAATAAAACAAAATAACACCTCAATAATTCACAGTGCCTCTTAACATGGGTCACGGCAAGACAGTGAAAATGGAATCCGTTAAGAACTGAGTCTACATAAACAATGGGTCATCTTTATGTGTATGTCACGAATACTGCGTGTTGCGTACTAAAATTATCTTTAATTCTCTGTAAACTGGACATTTATTTTTATTTTTGCTAAATCTGGCAATCCTATTTTAGGAAAACAAACGGCACACTGTAGCGTCTATTTCTAGCGAAAGAAACACGCCAGTAAAACCGGTACAAATCTTGAGCTATCTGCAAGCTGCGTGGCTTTTACGTCCCCACGGGTGAGTAGGTGGGAGGGTATCAGTACCCGCCCAATGTCCCAAAATCAAAACCCACGGTGCACTGTGGGAGAAAAACCCTGACAAGCAGAAACGACAGGTCGGGTGGTGGCAGCAGAAGGGGACGAAGCGGGCCGGACCGGGGCAGGATCCGAGCCTAGCTTCCGTTCCCAGCCTGTCAGTCACCCGTGCTCGGCGGAGGCCAAGGCTCGAAAGCCACTTTCTGGCCCTTACCGATGTTGCCTTCGATGGAGAGGCTCCGGGGGCCGCCCCCGTCGTGCATGCTCCTGGCGCGTGGCGCGTCCATGAGCGCGTTCAGAGCAAGGGAGCGGAAGGGCGCTCGGAGTCGACGCAGAAGGAACCCACCTGCGGCCATCCTAACCCAGCTCAGCGAGGCGGGCACTTCCGCCGGGGGCACTTCCTCCTGCCGGATTGCGGCTCGCCGCGCGCCTCTGACGTCAGAGGGCCGTCAGGCAGGAAATGGCTGTTTTTAGCTTGCTAGAGGATGATCCGGGGGTGGGGTGGGGAGCTCAGGGACTGCTCTGTTCTCGCGATGTTTGCGGGGACCCTGTCTCGGTGTTTCCATGTAGGAGGCTTTGCAGACTGGTGGAGTTACGTCGTCCAATAGCCCTTTCGTTATTGTTTTAATTACACTGTATGTATGTATGTGTGTGTATGTATGTGTATGCATACACACCTATCTGTCTGTCTGTCTATCTATCTATCTATCTATCTATCTATCTATCTATCTATCTATCTATCTATCTATCTATCCATCCATCCGTCTTACTGGCCCTAAGATAATGACTCCTTCCCCCACACTTTGGGAGTTTATTGCCGACAGTAAAAAAACTGGACATTTTAGGTAAGAGGGGAACACAATCCAATAAGTTACACAACTAACGCTTCTCATTCCATGTAGCTGCCAGCACGATGTTGGACCATTATTTTTACGTTGAAGAATCAGCTTATTCCACCCCATTTCTTATTTTGACTTTTAAACAAGTAAAACGCTCACTCAAGGCACTGAAGAACCTCATCAGGATAAAGTGTTGGATCTGGTATGGGCTTGGCTCTGTGGCAATGAGCCGTGGCAAGAAGGAGAGAGGTCCAAAGGATATGGAATGTGATGTGCAGTGGGAAGAGAAGAGGCATGGGAGAGACTTTCTGGGACATAAAACCTTCGGTCCTACAGCCGGAGACCTGTGACCTACGGAGCCACAGGGGGAGATCTGAGCTGTGCCACCAGGAAGGCCTGACTGCCTTGTGACCCCCCCTTACATATATACAGGTTGGCTAAATTCATATTTGTTACATTTGTTTATTTAATCTTTTTTTTTTTGATTGAAGGCTGGGGGTGATGGGAGCAAGGAGGCTCAGCTGGTAGAATGTTTGCCTTGAATGCACAGGCCCTGTGTTGGATCCCAGCACAGAATCCCAGTATGATGGCATGAACTTGTAATCCTAGAACTTGAGAGGTGGAGGCAGGAGGATCAGAAGTTCAAAGTCATTCTTGACTACACAATGCATTTGAGGCCATCTTGGGATACATGAGACTGTCTCAAAAAGGGATAGAGGGCTTGAAAGAGGGCTCAAAGGTGTTTGCTGCTAAGCCTGTCCACGTGAGTGCCACTGTCCTGATGAAATGGAAAAAAAAAAAAAAAACCAAAAATCAATTCCCTAACGGTGTCATCTGACCTCTACATGTATGCCTTGGCACATGCATGTTCTCCACCCCCAATAAATGAAAATGAACTAAAAACATTAAAAAATTTAAATATGTGTAAAATTTTACTGTAATCTAGGTGGGGATGCTAATGGAGATTGGAGCTACTAAATTACACCCTTTCCCACGGCCACACCAGTAGTCATCTCTGTGTGAAAATATCCTTTACATTTCTTTGCCTGAATAAATTCAGAGCTGGGAATATTTGCATACACACACACACACCACACACACACACACACACACACACACACACACACCCAAAGTTTGAGAGGCTCTCTTTGTCCTTAGAGTCCTTGTGAAATTCAACAAGGAAGTTGTCTGCAGATACAGGTAAGTACAGGCAACTAAACTCCTAAAAATTAGAGTGTCTTAAGAGTTGGTTTTTACAAACTCAAAAGCATACTGAGGAAAGCCAGATTTTGTAGCTCATGTCTGTGATCCCAGTACCTGAGAGGTTGAGTTAGGAGGAGTGTTGCAATTCAAGCCCTCCAGGTCAGCCTGGGCTTCAGTGTGAGACCGCGTCTTTTAAAAACAACAACAACAACAACAACAACAACAACAACAAAGAGCTGTTAAGATGAGTCAGCATGGGGTTGGAGAGATGGCTTAGCAGGTGAAGAGCATTCAGCACTGTTCTTGCAGAGGACCTGGGTTTGGTTCCCAGCGAACATGTTATTTATTTATTTATTTATTTTCAAACTGTTTTTTAAAGACGGAGTCTCACTATGTAGCTTAGACTGTTCTTGAACTCAGTGCTTCTCAGTTTTCTCCATGCTTAGATTACAGGCAAGTGTCATGTCTATTTTTTTTTTTTTTTTAGTTTAGGTTTATGATGTGAATTAATGAACAAAACCATTTTTACCTAGTTGTCTGCCAGGTATCATGATGCCATTATTAGTAATGGTCTTTCTATCCTTTATTTATACTTATTATATGCTATGCCGTTCATAAACTTAATCATGCTAGACATGATAACAGTAATAATCACAGTACTTTTGGAGGGAGAATCAGGAGCTCAGGATATTTTCAGCTACATAAGGAATTTGAGGCCAACCCTGGGCTGCAGAAGACCTGGTATAATCTTTTCCGGTATCTCTTTAGTTCCAGTTTTAAATTCCTAAGAGAAAGAAACTGTGGCCAGAGGCTAGGGTCTCATGGTATGACATGGGAACTGTATTTGTTACTTCTCTTGTTGTAGCAGGATGCCAGACAGAGGCAAATTAGAAGAGGAAAGGTTTGTTTTGGCTCTTGGTTTCAGAAGGATTTCAGTCCACGATAGAGGTGGGAATTGCAGGAGCATGACAGTGAACCAGGAGGCAGAGTGCACAGGCTGTGCTGGGGGTAAAGCCAGGAGGGGGCATAACTTTTAAAGGCCCACCCCTAGAGACAGGCCCCATCTCCTAAAGGCCTTCAAAATAGTGCCCTAGGTTGGGGATAGACTCAAAAACACTAGCCTGTGAGTGACATTTCATATTCCAGCCTCTACATGGCACCCTCTCTATGCCTAAGAAAGAGCAATTAAAGGGTTCATTAAAGTAGCTCCTCCCCAGAGTTACTAGTTCCTACCGGCTGATGTCAATAGGTCTTTTTATCCCAGCTCAGGTGCTGTCCAGAGGAAAGTTGTGACATGTTGTATAATGGGATTCATGCCTGCTTATCTTGGAGAGTGAGGTACTTCCTCACTCTGCTGGAGTTAATGCATAGGGGCTGATGCCCCACCAGAACTCTAGTCAGGCAGCGTCCCTTTGCTTGTCCCACGTTTGCTAAGCATCTGCTCTATGTCAGGTTCCCTGCTTAGCTCTCTGAGTGCAGCTCTGAAGGATGGATTAGTTTTCAAGTGCTTATAATTGTTGCTGTCGTAAGTAAAGTTGGCTGACAGCACATTAAAGACTATGCCATCATTAAAATGAGTGAGACAAATGTTCAAAAAGGTGCCTTTCTTCTGTTCCTTGGGCATCTATTTAACATATGTGGGGGTGTGCATATTCTTGTGTTTATGTATACTTGTATATGTGTGAGTGCGCGTACAGAGGTCAGAGGACGACCTCGGGTGTGTGTTCTTGCCTTCTACCTTGTTCCAGACAGATTTCTTGTTCTTTACCACTGTGTGCTAGGCTGTCTGAGTATTCTACTGTCTCTGCTCCCACCTAGCTGTAGGAGCCCTGGGATCACAGATGGGTGCTGCCGAATCCAGCTTGGTGTGTGTTCTGGGGATCCTAGCTGAGGTCCTTGGACATGCACAGCATGCGCTTTGCCCGCCGAGCCATCGCTCTAGCCTCCTTTTGGAAATGTCCTTACTTATTGACACCAACTAACAGATCCCTTGTTCTGTAATTATGAAGATTGGAGTTCAGGTCCCAGGACCTACGTAGCTGGTTAAATTTCTTGGCATTCCCACAAACATCTGTAACCATAGCTCCAAGGTGGATGAAGACATGCGGATTGCTGGGGCTTGCTGGTCTCCAGCCTAGGAAGCAAAGGCCCAGGTTCAGGGTGAGACCCTGCCTCAAAGGAATAGTCAGAGGGCACTGGATGCCCTCTCTGGCCTCTGTGCACAAGCATACCCATACACACAGTGTGCATATGCTCACACGGATAAATAAATAAATAAAAGTTTAGAGGAGCTAAGATGGCATTTTTGTGTTGTTTTTAAAGTAGAAAAATAGTGGGGTAGGGGTAAAAGGGGAGATCCAGGAAGTCAGATGGGTATGGAGGATGGGGAGGGTAGAACTAGTCAGCCTGTCCACTGCCCTTCAGGTGGACAGGTGGAGATTTCAGAGCATCCTTCTAAGAGTAAGTTGGTCTCTACATGTCCTTGGATCCTCTCTCTCTCTCTCTCTCTCTCTCTGTGTGTGTGTGTGTGTGTGTGTGTGTGTGTATGTTGTATGTGTGGTATGTGCATTGTGTTGTATGTGTGTGTCCTTGAGCTTTGCTGTCCAACAGCCAGTCTCTTGGAGAAGTGCCTGAGGAAGCATACATAGGTCAGAGAGCTCTTGTGTTCCCAGGGTGCAACCTCATCAGTCCCTGGCAGGCTGGGATTGTGGGCGCTGGCTTTCTTCTTCTGACTTGGCTTAACTTCTAGAGCAATGTGTGTGGATTAGACTCAAGCAACCCTCCAAAGGGCCTTTGCTGACCAAGGCTCTTTGACCCCTTCTGAGCAGCCTACTGGGTCCTCCCCAGAGGCTTCTGTAGGAAGTCTCTCTCACACACACATCCTGGTTCCAGGATCTGCTTCTGGAAAATAGATCCTAAGATTGCATTCCTCCAAGGAGTCTTGGAAACACACTCTCCCTCCCACCACTCCCAAAACTCAAGTGTGGGCTACTGTCCAAGAGTTTGTGGTCTCTGCACTTGGCCACTGGGCTCCACTGTCTCTAAGTGTGTATGTTTGCAATGGCTGGGGGCCAAACTGTATTTTGAGGAGAAAGGAGGCCAGGACTAGGCTGATGAAGCAAAGGACATCAGGCAGCAATGAGGGCCTACTTCTGATCTGACTAGCAGGATGGCCTAGTCCCCAGTATGCTAGCTACGATGGGGGAATAGTACAGAAATGGAAGCTCAGAAGAGTTAAGGTCTTGGTGAAGACTCCCTAGTATTTGACACTAAAGCCAGTATTCTTTCTATAATGTCATTTTACCTTCATTCCTTGAACATTAATAAGAACAAGAACCACATATCTGGCAATGTGGGCGTACGAACTCAGCTTTTAGAAATGTGAGTCCTTATCAGTGATGTGGGGATAATTATAGCACCTTCCTCAGGAGCAGTGTGGGGATAAGAAATGTCGGGCGAGGAATTTGAGCGACTGCTCATTGGGTAAGAGCATTTGCTGCTCTGATAGAGCACCTGAATGCGGTGCCTAGCACCCTTTTAGGGTGGCTCACAGTTGCCTGTAACTCCAGCTCCAGGGGATCCTGTGGTCTTTTCAGGCACCTGCACTCACATGCACATATACCCACACAAACACATAATTTTAAAAAAGAATATTAAAAAAGAAGGCCCGCAAGATGACTCTTACAGAAGATCCAGGTTCAATTCCTAGCACCTGCATGGCAGCTCACAACCATCTGTAACTCCAGTTCCGGGGGATGTAATGCCCTCTTCTGTCCTTCCTGGGTACTGCACACATGTGGTACACAGAAATAACAGGCAAAACACCCATAATATATCTAACAAGGAGGAGGAATAACGCCTGAAAATCCTTTAGCATTGCCTGTGAGACACATATATAGGAACATCCAGGAACAAAAGAGCCCCACACGGAGTAGTAAGGCTTGAAGGTTTTAATGGTTTGTGGTTGGTAACAGCAGTCTTGAAGGGACCCTCAGAGAAGCCCCTCTGACTTTAGAAGCATTTCCTGTGGACAATGGAGGGCCCAGCCTCATCGTACTCCGGCTTGCTGATCCACATCTGCTGGAAGGTGGAGAGAGAGGCCAGGATGGAGCCTCCAATCCAGACGGAGTACTTCCGCTCCGGAGGAGCAATGATCTGCAAAGAGAAAATGCGGTGAATCATGGCCCTTCCTTAAGAGGGTGGGTAAGAAATGGGGTACAGTCTCAGATACTGGGGGACTTCAAAACCAGGTGCTCACACCTGGTTAGAATCTTTTAGACTAAGATTCTAAACCATCCAGACCAATACAAAACCCCATCTCAAAAATAAATATACAGAATTGAAAAATAAGCAAGGAGGGTCAGAAATTTTCCTCAGCCCACGTCAGAAAAACGGCAACCTCCACAGTCAAAAATGAACAGGCTAGGGACTGGAGAGGTGACTCGGTAGTTAAAAGCACTTGTTGCTCCTTCAGAGGACCTGAAGTCTGTTCCCAGCATCCACATGTGGCAGCTCACAACCACATATAATCCCAATTCCAGTGTGATCTGAAGCCTCTGGCCTCCACTTGGTGCACATACACACACAAAGGCAAAATACACACACAAAATAAGTAAATCTAAAACTAAATCAATGAGCTAGAAATGGAAGGCGATTAGACTGTTGGCCAAAATGTTCCCTACCCTGCCGCCTCCCATCGCCTCCATAGAAAGAGTGGGCTCTTCTATCCTATGACTTTGGGCTGGGCCTTGTGTTGCCTTGTCCGGTGGATGCTAGCAACCATGACACAAACAGGAATGGGAATGTATTTTCATAGTTGACCATACTCTCTGTGCCTTTCCCGTCTCCATGAGAAGAACTTCTTTGTAGGAGCTGCTGATGCTTCATACTCAGCCTTGAAAGCTGAGATTCAGGGCCTGACCTGAGCTGAATAGACCCATTGAGCTGCCCAGCCAAAGCCAAAGCTGACCTGGATTAGCTGACTTTCTGCTGTTATGTGCCTCTGAGATTTTCTAGGTGTTTGTTACTCAGCAAGAGCTGACCAATACTAAAATCAATAGGGAGATCCTTGTTTGGTTCTTGCCTGGGGTTTGCATTCGTGGATACTTTGGGCTGAGCTGATTCCCTTTTCAACTCCATGCTGGTCTGCTTAAACCCTGCTTTGAGCTTTGTTTGGCAATGGCCGCTTATATCTGGGAGGCAATCAGTTTTATGCATGTGTTGCTAAGCCTTTCCACATGTCAGACAGCTTTGAACTCCAACTCATTTTCTAGTATTTGAAGTGTCTAAAGTGTTTTGTTTTTGTTTTTTGAGATAGGGTCTCACATAGCCTTAGCTGGCCTCAAATTCTTTGCATAGCCAAGGATACCCTTGAATTCCTGATCCTTCAGCCTCTACCTTTCTAGTGTTGAAATTACAGGTGCACACCACCAATCCCCCAATGCACCCCTCAACCCTGTCTGTCTGTCTGTCTGTCTGTCTGTCTATCTATCTATCTATCTATTGTGGGTGAATGTGGTGTGTGGTGTAGGTGTGCACAGGCCATGGTACCTCTTTTGAAGTCAGAGAACAACCTTTGGAGTCAGTTATCCCCTCTCACAATGTAAGACCTGGGGAATAAACTCTGGCCTTCAGACCTGGTGACAGGTACCTTTACCTGCAGAGCCCTTTGTTAAAACAGGGTCTAACTATGTAGCTCTGTCTATCCTGGAACTCACTGTGGAGACCAGGCTGGCTTTGAACTCACAGAGATTTGCTTGCCTCTGCCTCCCAAGTGCTGCGACTAAAGGCATGTGCCCACTATGCCTGGATTTTTTTTTTTTTAATTTTTAATTCCTCAATTTTTTTTCCTAAGACAGGGTTTCTCTGTATAGCCCTGGTCATCCTGGAACTCGCTTTGTAGACCAAGCTGGCCTCAACCTCAGAGATCCACCTGCTTCTGACTCCCAGTATTGAAGTCCTTAGAAATCTTTGAGAGATCGGTATGATTGTTTGGAGACAAGAAGCCAGAGCTGTCACCAGACAAATGGAATTCCTTTCAGTCAAGACCCCTGATATCAGACACCGTCACGAAAAGCATTGTGGGGGGAACTATAGTCACAATGGTCAGCAGATCAGAGCTGCCTAGCCAAGGCCTAGAGAAGGTCTCTGGGAATTTGAAGTGACAACCAGCCCTGTAGTCACACATTCCCTCTCTAGAACTTTCCATCTCTTCAAGTCATTTGTGCGTTGTTGCTGTTGTATACATGTATTTTTGCATGTATGTGGATTCCAGAGGTTAGCATCTGGAATCTTCCTCTATCTCTTCCCATCTTATTTTCTGAGATACAGTGTCTCTTGATGAATCCTGAGCTTACTGATTCCATTCAGTTGGCCAGCCTTTGAGCTCCAGGAATCTGCCCGTCTCTGCCTCCCTAGTGCTGGAATTACAGATGTGCTCCATCCACTTTTGTATGTGGGGGCCAAGGACTTAGGCTCATAGAAAGTACCCTGCTGACTGAGCCACTTCCAAATCTCCCTTCAAGCCATTTTTAAAGTTTAATGATACATTGTCACTTTCTTTTCTTAATTTTTTTTAATGATCTGGACATGGTGGCACAAACCTTTAATTCTAGCACTCAGGTGGCAGATTCAGGCAGATCTTTATGTTTAAGGCCAGTCATGTCAACATAGTGAATTCCAGATCAGCCAGGGCTAAATAGTGAGTCCCTATCAAAAAGAAAAGAAAGGAAGAGAAAAGAAAGAAGGGGAGAAAGAAAGAGAGAGAGAGGAAGAGAGAGAAAACCATATGTATGTATATGTATCTCTCTCTCTCTCTCTCTCTCTCTCTCTCTCTCTGTGTGTGTGTGTGTGTGTGTGTGTGGGTGTGTGTGTGTGTGTGTGTGTGTGTGTGTGTGTGTGTGTTGCACACGCAGGTATCCACGGAGGTCAGAAGAGCATTAGCTCTTATAAGTTATACATTTTAAGTATTGGGAACTAAACTTGGGTGCTCTGGAAGAGCAAGCATTCTTTTTTGTTGTTGTTTTGTTTTATAAGATAGAGTCTTACTGTGTATCTCTGTCTGGTTTAGAACTCAGCATGTAGACCAGGCTATTCTGGCACTCACAGAGATCCACTTGCCTCTGCCTCACAAATCCTGGGACCAGAGGTGTGTGCCATCATGCCTGACCCAGCAGCAAGTGCTCTTAGTGGCAGAGTCATCTCTCTGACCCCAGTCACTCTCTCTTTCTATTTCCCTCCTCCTAATTTCCCTTCAAATTCCCTCAATATTGTCATCATCTCAAGTTCTTCCAATGTCTTCTGACATGATATCCATGTGGTCAAGGACTGCGTCATGCTAAGCATATCTTTGTCCCATCATTGCCCTAGGAGCATAATCTTCCATGATGCGATTGACTGTTGACCAGGAGGATAATGATGAAACCAGGAGACTACCAAGCTCTAGGCAGGCATTTGTACATAGACCAGCAAAAGGGAAGTAGGGCAAGACCCAACCCACCTTGATCTTCATGGTGCTGGGAGCCAGGGCTGTGATCTCCTTCTGCATCCTGTCAGCAATGCCGGGGTACATGGTGGTGCCCCCAGAGAGGACATTGTTAGCATACAAATCCTTGCGGATGTCAATGTCACACTTCATGATGGAATTGTATGTTGTCTCATGAATTCCAGCTGACTCCATGCCTGGGGGAGGTTACAGAGTTTAGTCAATACCCATGCCTTCAGAAATGTAGCTCATCCCAGGCATTTTGGGAGGCTAAGGTAGGAGGGTCAATGAATTCGAGGCTAGCCTGGGTTACAGGGTGAGACACTTTCAAAACCAGACAAAAACACCATGAGAAGCGCAGCTCTGGCTCTTTAAAGGTCCTCCCCATGGCAGCTGCCTGGTCCAGACCCTTGATCAACTGTCATCTAGACCACAGGCTCAGATCTCCCTACCAGTGGTGGCCCTGCCCTTAAGGCTTCACACCTTAGCTGATCTTTCTCACTGTTGCCCAAGGCACATTTCTGAAGCAACACACTTCTTTCCCCGACTTTAAGGAGACGTAATCCATATACTGCAAAGTTAACCCTGTTACAGTGTACAGTTCAGTAGTTGTTAGCATATCCACAGAGCTGGGCAACTGTCACCACAATATCATTTTTTAAAGACAAGCTGATTTTGAGTTTGAGGATGGCCCCAAGCACTGGGATTACATTGGTATACTACCACACTCAGAGCTAGAGCATTTTCATGGTCCCAGAGAAACTCCAGCTCCCCATTCTTCTCCTAAACATTCCTCAAGAAAGTGGCTTCCTTTATTAAGTATTTTTTCTTTTTCTTTTCTTTCTTTTTCTTTTTTTTTCAATACAAGGTTTCTCTGTGTAGCTTTGGAGCCCATCCTGGAACTTGCTCTGTAAATCAGACTGGTCTTGAACTCACAGAGATCCACCTGCCTTTGTCTCTGGAGTGCTGGGATTCAAAGGTGTGTGCCTCCACAGCCCTTTAGTAAGTATTATCTCTTAGTCCTTGTCAAAGTACTATTTTTTTAAGTTTATTATTATTCTTATTGTTTTATTTATGTGTCTGAATATGGGTTTGGGCATATGAATACAGTGCCCACGGAGGTCAGAAGAGGGTGTCAGATTCCCTGGGACTACAGTTACAGGCTGTTAGGAGCTGCCGTGAGTGTGCTGAGAACTGAATATGGGCTCTCTGGAAGGATTAGTTAGTGCCTATAAATGGCGAGCCATCTCTCCATCATGCCCCATTATTTCCGTTTTTATAGCTGAGAAGGTATAGATGGGAGGAGATGGTAGTCCAGTGTGACAGTGCTCAGAGGTAGAGAGGTACAGGATCAGCACTGAAAGTCAAGTCTGAGCCCAGATTTACTCTCTGTGCCTCTGTCTAGATGCGGGCTCTAGGACATGAATGCTAAGTGATGCAGAAGTGGTCTGGATTGACCTTTAACCTCATTTTTAGTTTCATACTATATTACCTGTCTTATTTTTAATTTAAAAATATTTTATTGTATGTGTATGCCCACATGAATTTATGTGTACCATGCTCATGCAAGTGTGCATGAAGTCCAGAAGAGGGTCTTGGATCCCCAGGACCTGGAGTTATAAGCTTATGAGCCACCATGTGGGTACTGGGAACTGAACCTAGGTCCTCTGCAAGAACAGCTGGTGCTCTTAACCCCCAAGCCATCGCTCCAACCCCATTCTGTTTTTTTCTTTATCTTGATTTCCTTAGTCTTCTATTCAAAATTACATTTTTATTTACTTATTTATGGAATACTGTTCCTTCTTGGGAAAATTTAGGGCAGATAAAAGTAACAAACAAAGTTCCTGTGACTCTAGGTGTTTCCAAATCTCATCCACTCTTCTGCCTTGCATCCTCCCTCTCTGTCTCCTCCATCCTGAACCCTCTGCTCTCTATCCATACACCCTGCACCCCTGTCTTAAAACTTTCTGCCTTGGCCCCTCCACCCTGCATTGTTGGAACTACTTTTTCTGAAAATATCTTTTACCTTTAGAAAATCAGCTTTTGCCAGACCTTGCAACCAAGTTAATAACATGCATTGAGACCATTTAAAACTATGTGCTCAATCAATCAGCTGTCCTGAAGTGTACTCAGCCTGTTTAACTTGCCTTTAGGAAAACAATGTAATCAACCTTACTATACTTTGGACTTCCTACACAATCTCCTTTTACAAGCTAAGCTAACTACATAGCTTAAACTATGCATGCTTCCATGCCCCTGATGCAGAATAGTGTGTGTGTGTGTGTGTGTGTGTGTGTGTGTGTGTGTGTATGTTCTGTGGTAACCATTTGCTGAAAGCAGTCAACAGGTTGAAAGCAACCTTAAAGAAAATAAACATCCTATGAACATTGGAAGCAACATGAGGATGCAGGTTAATGACATTTATGTTTTGCTCTGAGTGCTATTCTGGGTTAATGGGGTCAGTAAAATAACTTCTTTCCCTTGTAAAACTCTGCTAGGGATTTCTGTAAAGAATTCTTCATTCCCTTTTCATATTATATGTTCTATGATGTTCAAGAAATACAGAGCAAAGGTTTTTGCTAGGCGCTGGCTCCAGACAGGCCGTAGACACATACAACAGACAGATGGCAGATCGAACACAGGCTCCAGACTCTGGATAGATGGAAGAGACAGGGAGGGTTCAGATTTAGGCTCGCTTTTGCTCTAAACTACTCCAAGAGGAAGATTCTTTTCATCTTTGAATGTGGAACCAAATCAATACACACCTCTACCCTGCACCTTCCATCTTGCATTCTCTATCCTGTCCTCCTCCACCTTGTACTACTCTACCCTGTACCCCTCTGCCCTGCCTCAGAGTGATGAGCAGGGTGGTAGGCATCGCCTCACCGATGAAGGAAGGCTGGAAGAGGGTCTCGGGGCAGCGGAAGCGCTCATTGCCAATAGTGATGACCTGCCCGTCAGGCAACTCGTAGCTCTTCTCCAGGGAGGAAGACGAGGCCGCTGTGGCCATCTCATTCTCGAAATCCAAGGCCACGTAGCACAGCTTCTCCTTGATGTCTCGCACAATTTCTCTCTCGGCTGGAGAATGTAGAAATGGCAAAGTGGTTACTGGGCTCTGCAGCCTTGCCTCAATCATGTGCTCTCCAGGAAACTCTTAGTCTACTTTGAGCCTTAGGAAGAGGACAGAACTGCCCCAAAGAGAGTCAAGGCTCTCCTCCATGCTGGGTTAAATGTCCCATCCCTCAAAAAGGCTGGATTCTCAAGCAGGGACCCAAGGGATGGTCTTCTTGCTCTGTCACTCTGTCTTGACAATGCCACAGTTGTTCCTGGGGTCTTACAGGGCATATTATGGGGTAGACTTGGATTTATCTCTCATGACTTGGCAGAATATAAAAAAAAATTACTATCAAAAATCCCCTTACCCAGGTGGGCTTCATGAGCCCCTTTGCTCTCAGATTATTTTTTATATCATTTGTTCTTATAGAAACCACAGACACCTCCAGGGAGAAAAATTTATCACCAGCTCTCCAGTACAGCTCAACCTTGCTGAAACCGCTGGGCCTGAGGTGACATGAGCATAGGCAGTGGGTGCTGAGGCAGGGAGTGCTGAGAAGGCTCTCAGGATGCTTGGGCAGAGCACTGCAGAAGGAAGTTAGCTCTAAGCCCTGTCCTCCCCAGAGCACCTCCATGGGGAACCTTCTTCCTTCAATAAGGCTGTCTTCACACCGCAGGGGTTCCCAGTCTACCCCAAGACTATCTGAGGTCAAAGCCACAGAACTGCCATCATTCCCGAGAACTTCTGGGCTTTGAGCTCAAGTCTGAATGAGGAAAGGGGCGGGTACCTGTGGTCACAAAGGAATAGCCTCTTTCTGTGAGGATCTTCATGAGGTAGTCCGTGAGGTCCCGCCCAGCCAGGTCAAGACGCATGATAGCATGGGGCAGTGCATAGCCCTCATAGATGGGGACGTTGTGGGTCACACCGTCCCCTGAATCCAGAACGATGCCTGTGAACAGGGAAGACAAACCTCATTTTCATCTTTCGTCTGTCTGTTTCTGGGTCTGTTACTGAAGATCTTCCATTATCATATTTTCCTTTCGTAGTTAAGAAAATTCACCCACCGTGAGAATTCTCAGAGAGAGTGTGTGTGTGTGTGTGTGTGTGTGTGTGTGTGTGTGTGTTTCCTTCTCCTAAATGAGAAGAGTGGGCAAGTACTATGTCTAAATTTCTTGGATTCCTTGAAATACATACACAGTAGTGGACACTTGTCAATTTACCCTGAGTCTGGACTGCACCATCTGTTATTTGTTACTTTTTGACTGCACATTCTCTATGAGGGTGGCTGGTCCCCTGGAGATGGAGCTGCCTAAAGTGGATACTAGGAACTGAACTCAGGTCCTCTGCAAATGCAGTATGTGCTCCTGACTGCTGAGTCATCTCTCCAGCCAGGTATACCTATTGTTTGATACAGGCTTTGTGGAAAACCCTGGAAGGATGAGTGCTCAGTTAAGCAGTGGATGTATGAAAGAACACATTTTGAAAAGCATTTATGATAGTGCCCAAGTCCCTGCTGGGGATCACAGAGTCTCTGCCTCCTGGGCATCCTTCTGTATCGAGGCCACCTACTTACGTGAAAAGTCATTGCAGTGAAGGTGTGGGGATAAGCCCCTGGAATGACCATGGTAAGGAAACAGCCCCTGCTCACACATCAATTCCTGTGTTAACTATAGCTTATGTCTATTCTTCCCAACTATACAAGCAGGCTCACACACGGCATGCTCCAGGCGCATGCTCATTTGTTATTTCCCTGAACACTGTTCCTTTTGTCCCTGCCTCCATTTCAGACCCAGCATGTTTGTCTCAAAGTATCCTCCAAGGCCCTATCTGTGGATGGGCTGGACCCCAGACTCTGTGGCCGAGAGGGAAGAGAACAGAAGAGCAAAGTGCCCTGTCCTTATGAACAGCTAGAAGCTAAGCCACTTCCAACAAAGGTTACTGCTGTTTAGCCCACGGTATAAAAGGTGACTGTAGTAGGAAACGGAGGCCAGAAGTTCAGCTGTGGAGAGAAACTCAGCCAGGAACTACAGCTGACTGCCTCAACTTCCCCAGTCAGTTTCTGTTGTTCCTAAGACCCCAGTTTGATGATGTCACCTACCTACCGGTATTTGTTCTTTTACTTGGAGGGGACACTCTGCCCTGCCCAGGACTCTTTCTTGGGAACCCAGCTGACCACCCTCCCCAGCTGATTTCCACCGGATGTTTTGAGTAACCAACCTGACGATGTTCTGCTATCTACGAATCTGTCATCTGTCCCTTACTATTTATTCTTTTACTTTGGCTTGCTATAAGCTTACTACATAGCCTCTGTCATTCAAAACCAAAGGTATGGCCACCACAGATGGTTTTCAGGACTGTGAAGAAAAGCTGGAGCCAGAAGAGCAATGGGCTTCAGCGGTACTGACCTGTGGTGCGGCCAGATGCATAGAGGGAGAGCACAGCCTGAATGGCGACATACATGGCAGGGACATTGAAGGTTTCGAACATGATCTGGAAGGACAGCAAGAGGAAGAGAACTGCCTTACAAACATCACAGCGTCTCCTGGACTACAGAATGCTCTGTAATTTTCCCAAGGGCAAGAACTCTACCAACCTAGTGGTCCTTCTTTCTCCCACTTCCACTCCCCATGGGACCTGCCCTGGTGACCCCACACACACAGCAAATCTGTAGACACTGCGCTGCACTGATACAGGACGGCCAGGCTGCTTCCTGTGCACAGTGCTCTTACCTGGGTCATCTTCTCCCTGTTGGCCTTGGGGTTTAGGGGAGCCTCTGTGAGCAGGGTTGGATGTTCTTCGGGTGCTACCCGCAGCTCATTGTAGAAGGAGTGGTGCCAGATCTAGTTGAGACAAAAGCCAGAGAAGCCCAGCAGATTCCCCAGGGGTCTGAAGAATATCCAACTGGCCTGTGCATACTGGAGGAGGGCAGCCAAGTGCTACACAGGACAGGGTGAATCTGGGGAATCTCATGGCTGTTACACAGAGAAACCCTGTCTTGAGGAACAAAGCAAAAACAAAAACAAAAAAGATTCTCCATCCCTAAATAACTAAGCAGTTATTTCAGAACAACCCATCTAATTCCTATGCAGATTTTCTTTTAAGATCCATAACGTATACCTAGGGCTTTCTTTAAAGACTTCATACACTGTCCCTACTGTGAGAAAAGATTTTGTTGCTTATGTTCTTGAATTAAGTATTTAGAGATGTGTGTGAATAATGAGTGTCATTTCCAAAGCTCCAACCCATATGTTGGAGTCACAATAAATCAGTGTGTGATTTCATTGCCAAAGCACTCTGGTGGAAAAGGAGATTGTTTGATTGAGATGTTTGATTGATTGTTTGATTCCATGACCCAGGCTGGCCTTCAATTCACAGCAAAGTGGCAATCCTCCTGCCTCAGCCTCCCAAATTCTGGGATTATAGGCATGAACCACTGCACCTCCCAAGAAAGTTGTTTGCTTTTTAATCTCCAGCTCACAAATGCAGAAACTAGGCTGGGTGTGCGGTTTGTACAGACATTTCTTTGCTATCCACTCCAGCATCTTGTCTGCTCCTCTCTTTAATGAGAAGGCTTTCACACACCTGAAGGCTAGCTCACAGCCCGCATTGCCACCTGCTCAGGGAGCTCTCGGTTACATTTTAGAAGACAGTCATAGCTGAATCAGGAACTCAGAGACAATGTTTGGCAGAATGGATAAGAAGAGTACTAGGAAGGTGCTGCTGGAATTTCTGCCTGTGATGTCATCATTGTCCTGCTTCCTGCATCTTCTTATACAAAACAACAAAAACTTCCAGAAACTCTAGAATATTACTTAATTTTTTCGTTGGAGAATCAGAATTCTATATCAGCATTGCCCTTACTTGAACTTATGGCAGAGCAAACAAGTACGACAGAGAGCTGGAGTTGCAGATAGTTTTGTTGCCTGGTGTGGTATAGGAACCAAACCTGCTCTACAAGAGCATCAAATGCTCTTAACGGCTGAGCTGCCTCTCAGCCCCATTTGAGATGTTCAGTATTTTAAATAAGGGCCCACACCTGGCCAGATGGAGTCATGCAGGAGAGGTGAAGGTTGGGAATTAGGTATGACTGGGTCCTCAAAGGGAGCCATGAAGAGTTAAGAATATAGGGGACTGTATGGATGCAAAGGACAAGGGATACTGTGGGTAAGCCATTGCCATCATCCAGGGAGAGAGGTTGGGGCTCAGGTTGGAAATTATCTAGGGAATGGAAAGGGAGGAAGGAAGCATTCCCGAGGAAGATTGACAGGGTATGGAGAGCTGTATGACAGGAGAGTCAAGATGAGACATCACAATTAAAATAACCATATCGGGGGCTTCAGATACCTTTTCCATGTCATCCCAGTTGGTGATGATGCCGTGTTCAATAGGGTATTTGAGGGTTAGGATCCCACGCTTGCTCTGAGCCTCGTCCCCCACATAGCTGTCTTTCTGGCCCATTCCCACCATTACACCCTGTGACATGAAATAAAAGGAGAAAAAAATGAGTTGGCTTAGGGGTCCACACACAGAGATTCAGTCATTGTGATGTCCCTGGGAAGGAAAGAGACGAGGAAAGGAAACAGGAAATGAAGGTGTGCTGAGACAGGAAGAGGAAATGGGGGATTTCTCATGGACTGATCCCTTTTCTCTCATAGAAGACTGTGGTTTTATGAAGAACAAAGCCCATAGATGTATGTATCCCCTTATTTTGTTTTATACTCTCTGCAGGGAGAGAGGGAGGGAGGCAGGGTGGGAGGAAGAGAGAGAGACAGAGAGAGAGAAAGAGCATGAGCTCAATATAGTTCTTTCAAAGCAGGTCCTATATGGCTCACTCCTAGTGGCTCACAGTCTAGGATCCAGAGGGAACACACCTGATGGCGAGGGCGGCCCACAATGGAGGGGAAGACAGCCCTGGGGGCATCATCTCCTGCAAAGCCTGCCTTGCACAGGCCAGAACCATTGTCACACACGAGGGCGGTGGTCTCTTCTTCACACATGGTGGATGTGGCTGAGTGAGCTAGGGCCTGGAGCACCTTTGGATGGGAAGAGAAGAGAATAGTTAGCCACTTGTCAGGTAATACAGGAGACATTCTTCATGGCTCTAGGGTCCTGTTCTAGGAGAGACAGACATAGGTTTGGTTTCCTTGTTTCATATTTCCCTTCAGCTGCTAAGCACTGAATTATGTTCCAGAAACTCCTATATGGAATGCACATTAATATCCTCACACCTCAAAGTGTGACTGAGTTTAGAGACAGGTGTTTACAGAGGGTAATTGAGTTTAGAATGAGGTTATAAATCCAATATGACTTGTCTCCAATATGGCTGCTCTCATAGGGTAGTATCTGTGTAAGAAAAGAAAATGGGAATATGGATATTTGGAGAATGTGGACTATGTGAAGACATGGCCAGAAGGTAGCCATCTATAAGTCTGGGGGAGTGTCCTGAGGAGAAGCCAACCCTGATGACCTCTTGACCCTCAGACTCCTAGTGTCCAGGATTGTTGGAAAACAAATGTCTGTCCTTAAAGACCCTTTTTTTGTGGTATTGTGTTATGGCAATCATCCAAGAAATACATTTTATTTTTATTTAATTTTAGTTTTTGAGACAGGGTCTCACTATGTTCACCATGTGTATCTGTGGAGGCCAGAAGAGGGTTTCAGATCCCCTTGACTGGAGTTCAGGATGGTTGTGAGCTGCCATGTGGGTGCTGGGAACTGAACTCAGGTCCTCTGTCAGAGCAGAAAGTCCTCTTAACCATTGAACCATCTCTCCATTCCTGGGGTCTTACTATGTAGCCTTGACTGGCCTGGAACTATGTAGACCAGGGTGGTCTCAAACTCAGAGACTGGTCTGCCTCTGTCTCCTGAGTGCTGGGATTAAAGGTGTGCACCACAATGCCCATTTTATTGCAAGTGATTTTAAAGATGAAATGGTCCCAAAACTTTCATTCAGTGCAGAGAATTGTGAGAGCACTTAACAAACAGTTGTTATACAAATTGAGAAGTTTTACGATATGCCCGAGGCAGGATCAGTATTTACAAGAAGAAAGAACTCTTACAAACTGATAGGTAGACAGCCCAAAAGAAAGGGACTGTGAGAAGACAGTTGACAAAAGAGGGAAGGAAAACCCTCTCAAGGAAAGACCCCCCCCCACCCTCTCTGGCAAATTAAATAAAACCACCTTCCACCTAGCACATACATTTTTTTGGTATGTTTGTATATGTGTGTATGTGTGCAAATCTGTGTATGTGCACCTGTGTGTGTGTAAGTCAGGAGACAACACACCCAACCTCCCTCTCTCCCCCTTCCTTCTCTCTCTTATTTATTTATTCATTTATTTTACAATTTCATGCAAAAGAGAGGAATGGAGCAAGGAAAAGAGAAACTGCCTGGGAAGGAAGGGCTCTAACGTGTTATTTAGCATGTGTGACCACAGCCGGCCTGTTATGGATAGGAGGGAGAAGTGCTACAGAGTGCTGGGACAGATCCCAAACAGCCTTATGCTTAGGCCAGGCAGTGAAGACCATGAGCCAGGCAAAGAGACGATGTTTTTGGGATTTTGATCAGGAGGTCAAGAAGGTTAGACAGGGTTAGGGCAGAAGTTTATTGACACAAGGGCTGGAAGAATGGCTCAGAGGTTAAGAGCATTGGCTGCTCTTACAGGAGACCTGGGTTTGGTTCCCAACACCTACACGGTGCCTCACAATCAACTGTGACTCCAGTTCCAGGGGACCTAATGCCCTTGTCTGGCCTTCTGAGAACCAGTTACAAATGTGGTACACAGACAGATAGTCAGGCAGAACACCCCCACTCAGAAAATAAAATAACAATTAGAGAATACATTATTGTATTGTTGCACAATGGTGGTGGTGGGGGGGGAGGGCAATGCTCCTTGGCCTGGGGTGGAGCTCTGGAAACTGGAGTCCGTCTCCCCTTTCATCTTTCCATGGGTTCTGAGCATTGAACTTGGGCCAGCAGGTCTGGGAAGCAAATTCTTTACCCAGCAAACCATTCTGTGAGCTTAGCTATGTTTAAAACAATCCGAATTGAGGGGCTGGAGAGATGGCTCCGCAGTTAAGATGGTCATAACCTCTCCTTGTATGGCTTTTTCCTTTTGCCTGCTTTTTCAGGAGCACACAAATGCACCTCTGTTTCTTCTCCCTGGGCAACCTCTAAACTCTTTCTACATGCGAGCCAGGTTCATCCTAACACGTAACTCAATGTCTGGTACACAGGAGGTGCTCAATAAATGTTGACATAGAGGGCCCCTCCCAGACCTGCCTGCTCTGTTCCTGGGATCCTCAAGCGCTTGGCTTTCTCTCCCCAAGCCAGTCATAGCTGCACTGATATAGTGAATATCCTCCTGAGGGGAAACAACCGAAGAGCCAGGAGGAGGCCAGGAGGAAGGAAGCCACACTTCTGTGGCTGTCTCCTCTAAGGTCCCCTCAGCACTGTCTCTCGGTGTGATTTATTCATACCTCAAGTGCCTGTGTCTTTTTTTCCCTTTTAAAATTTTGTTTTAGTTTTTTTTTTTAAGTCAGAATTCTTTGTCTACTGCATGTAGCCTCTTTTAACTCACAACAATCCTCCTCTCTTAGTTTCCCAAATGCTGGGGTGATAGGTGCTTTCCCTCACGCCTAGTTTTTCTTTGGTGCCTCTTCAAAACCCCTGCTTTTGCAGGATCTCATGTAACCCAGGCTGGCCTTGAACTCCCAGTGTAGTCAAGGATGACCTTGAACTTCTGATCCTCCTGCCAGCCAGTCCTGGATTAAAGGTCCTCAGTACCTACACTCATGCAATGCTGGGGATCCAACCCTAGGGTTTTGTGCATGTTGGGGCAAGCACTGCCAACTACATCCCCAGCTGGCTCCCATTTAACTTTCAATGACCTTCATCCCCTCTCTGGCTTTACTGTGCCCTACCCCACCGCAACTCAGCCCCCAAAGAACCACAGGCTTGCATTTTGTTTCCCAGGCTGTATGGCCACCAAGGCATCCACTGAGCAGTTTAAATCATCAGCAGTGCCCCCCCACCCCAGTATTTCAGGGACTTAGGATCATCACTTTTCTGTTTAAAAATTTTCTTCAGATTTGCTTGTGCTTATGTGTGTGTTTTGCCTGCATGTATGTATGTGTACCACATGTGGACAGGTCCTGCTGAGGTCAGAAGGCATCAGAACCCCTGGAACTGGAGTTCCAGGTTGTGAGCTACGATGTGGGTGCTGGAAACTGAACCTGGATCCTCTGCAAGAGCATCAAGTGTCTTCAACCACTGAGCCATCTCTCCAACCCCAGAACCGTTTTTCTGTGGCAGAGCCAGAGATGAGGTAAGGCATTGAAGACGGGTGAGAGAGTTAGAGTCCCCGAAGGGCGGTGGGCCATCTCCTGCCATGTTTCTCGGGGAAATTCTTGACCCTTCTAGTTATATGTGATTGATCTAGAGATAGTGTAGCTGTGGCTTGTTGAGGTCACAACTGCTTTGTTGTGGCCATTTTAGCATATCTCATCTGGACTTCACTGAGAGAATCTCATACAGTTAGAAACACAGCTTTTGAGTTTTATCCTCTCTGCAAGGCAGCCCTGAACCAGACAGAATTAGTGCAAATAATTGGCTCCCTCACCTAGGGATCTCAACTCATCATGAGGACAAAGGTATAAAAACCCATCTTTGCCACTTACTACAAAGGCACAGGTTTGGCCCTGGTGTCTCACTTCTCCTTTAGTGCCCCTTCTTCCCCCTGGGGCCATCTCCCCACAGCCCTTCCATATGTCTCTCCCTGGCCCCCAGTTTCTTCCACTACAAAATAGAAATGAAACATCTATCACGTAAGAAGAAGATTAGGGGCTGGAGAGATGGTCCAGTGGTAAAGAGCACTTGTTGTTTTTACAGAGGACCTGAGTTCAACTTCCAGTACCCACACGGTGGCTCACAATCATCTATAACTCTGGTTCCAGGGGCTCTGATGCCTTCTTCTGACCTTTGAGGACACCAGACATACACACATACACATGTGCAGGTAAAACACTCATATGCATAAAGTAAAATAAATAAACTTAAAAAAATCCCTAAAATATACTTTGAACAAAGAATGTGTTAAACAAACACAGGGATATGAAGGTTTGCACAAGGGTTGCACACACTGTAACCCAGGGTAGGCAAACTCTGGCCTACTTTCTTATAGATTGAATGTCAAAAATGTTTTTTACATTTTTTTTTAAATGGTTGAAGATAGGCTTGGTAGATGGCTCAGTAGGCAAAGCACTTGCCGGGGAAGTGTGAGGACCTGAGTTCAGATCCCTGCTCCACAGAAAATCCAGGGGTCACTGGTAGCTCCTAAGTAACCCCAGTTCTGGGCAGATGGAGAAAGGAGGACCACCAGAGCAGAGCTGACTGGCCAGCTGGCCAAGCTAGTTGAGTCAGTGAGCTCCAGGTTCAGTGACAGATCCAGCCTCAAAAATAAGCAGGAGAATACTAGAGGAGGACATGCAATATCAACTGACGGCCACCACTGACACACATGTGGATCAGGGCATGCACATACATGTGCGTGCACACACACACACACGCGCGCGCGCGCGCACGCGCGCGCGCACACACACACACACACACACACACACACACATGCATCACACACACCTGAACATAATATACACATACAACAACACACAACACACACACCATACACACATTCACACCCCCATACATCTAATTTTTAAAAATAAATAAATAAATCTGTGTTATCTTTGAAAAGTTGTTCATCACACACCGACATACACACACCACACACACACACACACACACACACACACACACACACACACACACAAATAAAAAGTTAAAAATAAAAACAAGTGTGGTGGTGCACACTTTTAATCCCAGCAGAGGCAGGTGGAGCTCGGTGAGTTTGAGGCCAGCCTGGTCTACAGACCAAGTTTCAGGACAGCCAGGACTGCTACACAGATAAACCCTGTCTCGAAAAACCAAAAAAGAAGAAAAAAAAGCATATAAAGCATATTTTCTATTAAAAATGGTAGAAGACTAATAGTTCATGACCTGTGAAAATTATGTAAGATTGAGTTGAATTGAATGAGTATATAACTCTTTCTTTCTTTCTTGAGAAATGCTGGCTCTGAGATCACTGCACAGCCTTGAAGTCCTGCTCCTCCTGCCTCCACCTCTGAGTA